CATTTCATAAATAATTGGTGTCTTGATTTAGTATAAAATTTAAAAAAACAACAATATACTTCTAAATAACGATTATTATTTTTCGTAAATTTTTTATTTTTACAAAATYTTATTTACATAAATAAGATTTTATCTTTTAAATATATATATATTTTTTCATAATTGTGTATGATCTAAAATTTATAGTTTAAACCTTTTCAGTAACGTCCAGAATTATTGTTTAAAAATAAGAAACCAGCTATTTGGCWTATGTCATTTTTTTTTATCTTTGAATGTGTAACAATTATACAGATCATTTTTGTTCTTARATAGTTCATAGAAAAATATTACTAATGTAAAAAGATAGAAGATCTTATAATAATAAGATATTTTTCATTATATAATTATTTACGTAAGGTGTAAAAGACCAAAAATTTTTTAGAATTGCAATCTACATATTCGTTTTTATTTATTTATTCTATAAGTACTTGTAGTTCAATTTATTCATCTTCTAATAAACGTAATTCAATTGAATATGTATTTGCAATTGCTACCATTTTATAGAGTTGTAGGTTAGGATATTTATCTATATAAGTTTTTATTCTATCGTCATAGATTCCATCACGGAATTTGTTATGGCCGAAATTCCTCAATTAAGAGTCCTCTGGCAATTTGTTTATGCTCTCGCACTCCGCAAATATAGCGATCACAACCTTAAGGGTTGTGATTTTGAATAGGCTCACTTTCACGAGTCTTGAAGATGAGGATATTCTCTTCGTTGTCCTTTGTGAATTCTTAAGCCTCTATAATCCCTCGAGATGTGTAGTCGTAGGCGTCCGGTGAAGAATAGAAAGAATGCCCCTTTGTACGGTCCCAGCAGGACGTACGTACTAGGGCTCGAGAAGTAGGGATGCGAGAGGTGGGGGTAGCTAGAGCAACGCTTCGATAGTTACTAATAGTTGATCGATGCTCGCAATGAGTATCGATCTAGAATCCCAATTGATGGAAGTGGACGCGCGCGAATTTCGAATACCGCTAATCACCGTACGATCCTTTTCGGATCGTACATACTCCCCCCGTTGAGCGTGTAACGATCAATAACATTCATAATACATGGTTTGTGTTGTGCGCTTATTACAATCGATTTTACGATATTTGTGACACACGTCACAATTTATATATCGCTATATTATATATCGCTTGCAGCACGAGCTGCTTACCGTCTTCCGTGAATCGCTGTATTATATATCGCTTGCAGCACGAGCTGCTTACCGTCTTCCGTNTCGCTTGCAGCACGAGCTGCTTACCGTCTTCCGTGAATCGCTGTATTATATATCGCTTGCAGCACGAGCTGCTTACCGTCTTCCGTGAATCGCTGGCCAGTCGATTTATCTGTTTTGTACGTACGAGAAAATTATTCATAAGAGATTCAACGCACGAGCGTTAATTATAAAGGATACAACGCAAAAATTAATGATGGTTTAACAATGGACAAATAGTCGTTGCGTTTCGCTTGACAACACCGTGAACCGTTTTCACGGTGACCACTCGTACTACACCATCTTGTCCTGGGTGTATGTTCGTGATTCGGCCTAACGGCCATCTCATGCAAGGTTGATTCTTGTCGATGAGAATAACGATGGTGTCCTTTTCAATCTTTTGCTGGGGTTGTATCCATTTATGACGTTTCTGCAATTCTCGTAGATATTCAATGTGCCACCGACGCCAGAAATCTTGTCGCACCTTCGTGATGTGTTTCCATGAAGACAATCGATTGGCTGGTGTCTTAGCATAATCTTCCTCTGGCAATGTCGTAATAGGTCTTCCAACTAAAAAATGTGCAGGTGTTAGAGCTGTCACGTCATTCGGATCTGATGAGATAGGACATAACGGGCGTGAATTTAAAATTGCTTCGATTTYGATCGCGAATGTAGTTAATTCTTCGTATGTGAAGAGAAGTTCRCCGACAACCCGTTTAAAATGGTGTTTGAAAGATTTGACGGCCGCTTCCCACAAACCTCCGAAATGAGGTGATAAAGGAGGATTRAAATGCCATGATATTYTATGATCTACTGCGAAATTCTGGACCTTTGTTTTATATTCGTCCGACTCAATCAAGGCATATAATTCCCTTAACTGGTTATTAGCCCCGACGAAGTTTGTTCCGTTATCCGAATAAATATGAGCTGGAACAGCTCTTCGACTCACAAAACGCCTGAAAGCGGCTAAAAAGGCATCTGTGGTCAGATCGCTGACTAGTTCGATGTGTACCGCCTTGATGGTCATGCAGATGAAAATACACCCGTATGTTTTAACGCGACCTTTATTACGGTGCTTCTTTTCTTTCGCGTAAATTGGGCCGAAGAAATCTACTCCGACATGGGAGAATGCAGTGGCTTCCTGCACTCGCGAGCTTGGTAAATCTCCCATTTTATACTGGATGCCGGACGCACGGAATCGGATGCAAYGYACGCAATGACGTACGATTCTTCGCACCTGATTCTTGCCGTCGAGGAGCCAAAAACGTTGTCGAAGGGYATAGAGGGTAGTCTGTATACCGGCGTGAAAGTTTTGCTCATGAAGCTTTCGGATAATGAGATCGGTGWCGTGGTGATGTGAGGGCAATAATATCGGACATTTCTCGTGGAAACTTAAGTTTGCGTTTTGAAGTCGACCCCCCASTCGAATTAAACCTYCYTCATCAAGGRTCGGATTTAACGCGGCGAGCCTYGTRCTCTTGAYTCCCCCCGCTGTCTTCAACCTTTYTCTTTCGGCGTGAAATTGTTCGTCTTGCACGATTTTTAAAACGCGTCGTTCTGTTTCTGTTATTTCTGCGGTAGACAATTCTCCCTTATATGAGTTAGTTTTAAGCCATCGTCGGCATCGTGCTATAATTTTTAATAATCGCGTGTAACTAGAGAATCGCTGAAATATGCTTCCTGATTCAATTAGCGTCGTTAGTACCGATAGTCTCTTTACGTCCGGCAATTCRAGAATTTCCCTTTCAGTCGGGATTGGCCAYTCGGCCTCCGGTCGCTCGAGYCAGGATGGTCCGTGAAACCATAYCTCGTTCTTCAGGAAATCGCGTGGGAGTTGTCCCCTAGATAAAGCGTCCGCTGGRTTGTCTTCGGATCGCACATGTYGCCATGTGATACCTTCACAGATTTCTTGTATTTCGCGCACGYGATTTGCCGTGTATATTTTCAACGTACCGGAGTCTCTTTTCAGCCAACCTAGTACAATCATCGAATCGGACCAGAACGTTATCTTGTCGGGTTTCAATCCGTCGGCGGTACGGACTTCTCTATATAATCGCGCGAGGGT